GCTTAGGGATACTTTACATTATACATTATTTAAAGAATCATGGCGAAGCTATTATAAATCAAGGGGCTTATAATAATTACTATTCTAACGAAGTCTTTGCTTCGCTTATCTTCAAGATCTTCTTGCTTGATTTTCAGTTATTCTTCTAGGAATTCTTCTTCGGATTTCACGCTGGTTATCATTCCTATTATTCGGCAGGTATGCCTCATATAGTAGTCGATCTGGAATTCTTATGGTAAATCCACTTTAATCATGAGTTTACTGCGCCAGATTCGTAGATCCCGTGACAATAGCTTATTACATGTTTAACGAATTAAGGAAAACCCATACTAAACAACAATATTTAGAATACATTATCACAGAGAAGGCTTTGCTTCGCTTATTACAATATTTCATATTACAACCTCTTATGACTACATCTTGATTTTTCTGTTTTTCTCTTTCTTCTACGCGTACTCGTTCTTCGGATTTCACGTTGGTTGTTGTTTGTATTCGGTCAACCGATAAACTGGTATTGATAGTGGTAATTACTTCTTCGATCACAAGTTTACTGCGCCTAATTTTGTAGACCCATCTTTTAGCCTATGATAATAGTGACATAATTAATGACATTATTATCGAGTGGCTAGAATTAAATTACGGAAGAGGCGATTAAAATCCAGTGGAAAAGGTCGCATTCTAGAATAATCGCAATGAAAGTTTGTGGCTTTTAGTTTTGGTTTCTGTGAATACTTTAATACAATCCATTTTTAAATAAACTTAGCACTTGTTTATAGCATTCCAGAACGATTTGAAGAAATAGTATTGCGTATTTTTGTACGCAAATCCAATGAGGTAGTAAAATTTACGTACCCTTTCGTTATCATCACGAATGGTTACTAATCAATGAACTTATATATTTATAAATAAGGAACAAATCCAGTTGATTAAAGATAGTTTTGGTAAGTTTTGTAAAATGTATAAGATTAATCCAAACCGTCAACAAGCACGAAAGTAACATCGCCGTTTGAAGCTGATTTTAATGTTATGTGAGCTCTTATTTTTTTCGAATTAACATGTACAAGTAGTTCAAATTTATATGCGATCTTTATTTTATTTATAGTTCATATAATTTAACAAGGCAATTGGAAATGTATTAAGAGTTTAAAATATAATGTATTTTTAAGTTTATTTTTATATAGGCAACTATTTTTAAACATTTATTATAAAACACGCCTATGGTAGTTTTGCACCTATCATATGTTTTATTATGTTTTTTAGATTTTTCTAAGTTTTGAATATAAAAGTTTTCAACACAAAATTTTTATGTTAGTGTTAGTATTTAGGGTTCGGGTTAAGGTTTGGGAAGGGGTTTTTAGGAGCGTAGAGCATTTTTACTTAGAACATCTTGCATTGATTAATTAGCTAATTTTTGAGATAATATACACATAAGTGTAAAACACCATGGGTGCGTTTTAGTAAAAGTCATTTTTAAATATAAATTAAAGTAAACTATATCTCTAGTATTCTAATTATATTATCTACCCCTTGTTAGCATACCCCAGATTAATCAAGTATATTTCGTAGACATGATTGTAAAAGACCAGGGTATATATAAAACATGTGTCCAAATATTTTCGCGTTTACTTAAATGAAGATTGGTTAATTTTATTACATTCAAAGTATCTCCTTACATAAACTCCCCCCACATAAAATAAATACCCTCCACCTGATAAAGTACTAATCAAAATTTTGCCCCTAGGAATGTAAGGGTACTATTTGCCAACATATATAAATACTAGCATCTTGCACGTGCATTTGTCTAACATTAATGGGTCATATGTCTAAATGGACAATCAAAAGGATGAATGTTTTGACATTTTTTAAATGCGCTTTTTTATATGATCAAATGATTATGACAACAACAACTATCAAACGATAATTTATAAATTATTTTTATATAAATAGGTCACTATGATTTTGTGGATGGGTTATACTGCATTTTGCCTTTTTGACTGCGCATTTATCGTAGTAAGGGATAAATATGAAACCTACGGTAATATTTCGTATTTTAAAATTATTAAAGTTATGGCTATACTGAACGTGTTACTGTATACGACACGTTATAAAAAAAATTTAGCGTTTACGTTGGTAATAAATTTAAGTAGATAGATTAGTTTTGGAATTGAAATTACCACAAAACGACGCTTATTATAAATTAAACATACCATTGAAGAAGTGATGTTCTAACATCAAGTTTGTTTTCTTTTTTTCTGATTAACAAAAAAACGTCCTTTTTGAATTATCTTTAGTCAACGCGCACAAGGTCATGACCCCGCATGTGAACGCGAAATATATGTTTCGCATTCAGTTAGATAGGTTGATGTTTTTCATAATGGTCATTTGCAAAAATATATGCGTCTATGCACGGTTAGTATTTTGATTAATTTATTATATTTGATAAAACATAAGTTAATATTTTATTTATGATAACATTATATCGAATATTTTATTATTTTATTATTATTATTATTTATATACTTATTCATTTAAATAGGTATATAAATGCAGATGATTTTGCAAAACGTTTTATGACATTTATTCTAATTCACACAGAGATCTTTTAGTAGCAAGAGACATAACCCAGTGATAAACATTATGAAATATTTTACGCATAACGATAAAAAAAATCACATCATCTCTGTTTATTTATGTGAGTTACACAATCCCAATTTTATTTATGCATTAGTACGTACGTACAAGGTTTTATAAACTCCGGATCCCAACGAACTCAAAAATTCAGAATAAATAATTTACATTTACGCCCTTTTTTGGTTCGGACGTTTTTAGTATTTCCAAAACAAGCCTCTATTAATGTGGTTGAAAAAAAAATGCGAGTAAATTAGAAAATTCCATGACGACAAATAGATTACCGTAAATGATTTAATAAAATCTTGTGTTGCATCAATATAGGCTACAAATAAAAAAGATTTTTTAGCTTTTAGTTTATTTTGTTTTTATAGCATTAAATGGTTAAGATAACTGCGTAGCACAGCATTCTTGAAATTTTTAAATATCGTATGATAATGAAGGTTTTATGCTTATAAAGAGTTTTTTTTTTTCCTACTAAGTTTACATAATGTAGAAACTTATAAAGGGGTTTTTTATATACCTGATAATGTAGTTCGAGGTTCCACAGTTATATGCATGTAATATAACTAAATGGTTACTTCAATCCTTATTGCGTACCATGTGCGTACGTACGTATGTGCTTACAGCTGTAATAATGGCACTGCAGCAGGGAACCATTGAATTGCAAATTATTGAAACCTTGTACGTATGTACGTACGTGCACATATGTATAGTAATCAAAGCTCTGTTATTTACATTTGCAGATCTAAGTTAACATCCTGGAAATCAATTCTGTCGTTAACTATACAAACATCTGGGTTCCGAAAATTCTATTCATATTTTTAATAAATGATGCAGATAGTAAAGGAGATCTCCGTTTTAATGATCTGACCAATCACAGGTGCTATTAGTCATTATGAGATAAATTGCATAATTTGGGGGAGGCTCGCATCATGACAAAACAGTGTTGTCATTAACTCATTGATTCACAGCAAAATAAAATTCAATGGAAATATGAATAGCCATCAAAGGAGTTTTTTTTATCAATCTTATCGATAGACCGCAAAGTTTGCAATAGCCTAAAACAGTACTGTACATAACGAATAAAGTTTTTGTGTTAAATTAGTAAAAACTTAAAATACATGTATGCACGTACCTAGTTTATTTGATTCCTAACGACGTAAATTTTATATAATTCAAGGTAATCCGTAGATACTCCGGATATTTCATAAAGTTTCCCTTTTATTTTATCGTTATCAATGATTTATATAAACTAGAAAAGATTAAAGTTCGGATCATGAATTTATTGGCTACATCGCAATCTAAAAAAGGAAAGAGATAAAATGATAAATTTTTCTGACTGTAAATAAAGTCCTCCGCTTTGTTCCGGACTTTAATTATTAAAAGCTTTAAAGAAACATAATATTTACGGATTACAAAAGATTCATTTCAATTTCTCTGAAAATGCAATTCAAAGTTAATTTAACTATGGAATCTTCAAGCGGATCTACTGTTCCTAGATTCAAGAAAAGAAAAGAAGTTATAGATAAGCGAGAAAGAGCTATATTCAATACACTTGCTAAAATTGATCGTTCAAAAGAAGTCGACCTTTGTTACGTTTTAGATTGTACAGGTTTTGTATCTTTTAAATTATTTATCACTGTAACAATTACTACCTTCTTGAATTTTTATTTACCTCCATTTTATTCTCTTATTTTATTTAGGTTCTATGAAAAGTCATATCGCTGCTGCCAAACAGTGCATTTTACAGGTGACTGAACATATTAAGAATACAAACCCGTGCATTAAAATTCGTATCGGTTTTTGTGGCTATCGAGATCATTGTGATAACTCTCGTATACAAATTTTTGACTTTACAAATTCTTATGAGAAATTTCAACAAAATTTGGCTACATTAAAAGCCAGTGGTGGTGGTGATCCACCAGAGGATGTTCTCGGAGGTCTTAATGCTTCTATAACTCAATTATCTTGGAATAATGGTACTAGAGTTCTCTTTCATGTTGGTGACAGTCCACCACATGGTCGTCGTTTTAATGACTTAGATGATAATTATCCAAATGGTGATCCATACGGTTTAACTGCTGAAAGTGTATTAGAAAAAATGCGTTCTGAAAGAATTCTCTACTTTTTTGGAAAAGTTACTGAATATACTAATGAAATGATTAAAGTATTTCATAGTATAATTGGTGATTTTCCTGTATTTGATCTTGATGGAGGTGATCCAATTCAATTAATTAATAAATTTATCAAGGCTACCACTTCTTCAATTATAACTTCGGTTTCATTAACCAGCACAATTGGATGTAGATCTAGTAACCTATATCCTTCTCGTCAAAAAATTATTATAAACCCTAATGTACCTAATTGGATTTCTCTTCCTTTACAAACCGGTGAAACTTTAAGTTATCATATTCCTAATTCTCTAGATGAACTTAAAGATCAAAAGTTCTTTAACAAAGAGAAACTCTTTTCGAGAAAATTTTCTTTCAAGATTGCTTCTCAACCATTTTCTTCTGGTAGTGAAAAATGCGCTTATTTTGCTATTAGTGCTAATAATGGTCCACCAGAAACAATGGTAATGAAAAAATATATTCAAAATACTTCAACTGATATTTTTAAAAAATATCTTGAAGCTATAGAAGTTTCTGCTGTAACAAATTATCTTTCAAAAAGATTTAATTTAATTGCAAAAAGAAAAAAGATTTCTCCTATAAATTTCCTTCGCGCAAATCTTGTGCGTGTTATTATTGATAGTAGAATTCATTATTATATTTCAGAAAAAGAACTTCGTGATGTAGAATTTAAACGTTTCAATACAAATAGTGGAATAATTACTTTATCTCGTCCTACTCTTGAGGCTTTTGCTCATTTTACTTATGAACATACAAAAGGTTATTTAGTAGTTTGTGATCTTCAAGGAGTTGAACTTGATGATAATTTCTTATTAACTGATCCAGCAATACATTGTGTTGATTATTCAAGATTTGGTCATACGAATTTAGGGCGTAAAGGTATTGAAATGTGTTTTTTAGCAAATCATACATGTAATGAAGTTTGTAAAAAGTTGGGTTTAGAGCTTAGACAAAAATAGATTTTATTGATTGACTGAGAATTTTGCTTGAAAAATTATTCTGCAAATTTATATATTTACAGTATTTAGATTACATTTTCATAAAGCGGGTTTCTGTAATGTAGAGCCGGGTTTATCGATTATCTGATTATAAACTATTAATACTCGGTATAACCAAATACCCTATAATATAGGTTAATAAAGGTAACTGGTAAACACGGATGTGTCTATATAGATTTATTGTTTAATAGAATAAAATCGAGTTTATTGTTTGGTACAATACAATGGAGTTAGTGCAGTGATTTAACCTTGTTTACAATAGAATATTGTTTTTTGTATTTTTTTTTTAATTAAAATACTGTAAAAAATATAACCTGTTAATAAATTATGTCATAACTTGGATTTTGAAAAAAGCGAAGCCTAAAATTTGTTTTTTTGTTAATTTATAGTGGTAATACACTATATATAAATAATATTTTTTTGAAAACTTCTTTATCGAAATATAACTAGTGATACTCAATTGCTACGATAGATTAAAATAAAAACTTCTATTAGTGCTTAAGTGGCTTTTATCGATTCTTAGTTATTAAATTTCATCACATACGTATACAGAAAAAATAAGGAATATCAACCCGGCTACCTTTGTTACTTATTACAATTTCCATGTACTATGAGAGCCTCTATAACAAAAGAGGGCAATATGGGACAAAAATTTTGATTTTGTAACTTTCACAGATCGAAAATGGCAAACCAAATCAGGTACCTGATTTGTGCCTGGTTTGTCATCTTTCGACCTGTGTTTATATTTATCAATCTAATTTTTTTAAAAAATTCGATAAAAATTTTTTTTTTTGGTTCACTGCCTTTTTTTGCTATAGAGGTTCCATTATACAAGTTATTATATTATATTAAAAAAGAAAATAAAATAAAATAAAAAATACTCAAAATTTTGTTTTGAATTTTTTGCAATTTCTAGTATATAATATATAATATATATATTAGAATTTTAAAAATACTGTAAGTGAATTATTAATTTATTGAAATATTTAATTATTTCTAAAAAAAAATTTTTATTTTATTTATGTTTTTTTTGTAAATTACAACCGGTATAGAGTTATATATAATAAAGTAAACTACTATTTAAAAAATAAAATGTTTAGAAAATATATTTTTTAATATTAAATACCAAAAAATAGACATTAATATTTTAAAATTAATTTTTTAGTTTATCTAAAACTATTATTTAAATATACTAGATATACTAATTTATTAGCAAAAGTCTAAATATTATAATTATAATTTGTTTAAAAATTTTTATAATAATAATAGTATTAAAAATACTATTAGATGCTGTATTTTTTTTAATTACAATATTTTTGAAACAAAAAAGTATTACTAATTGCAGAATTTAGTAATAATAAAATTAATTGTAAAAGTTGGATTATTAAAAATAATTAGGTTATGCAAAATCAATTATTATATTTCTTTGAAAATAAGTACTCCCAAAAGCAAGCACTCCTACAATTTATATATATCCAAAAATAAACAACCTTATAGCAAAAAGAAGTGCTTATTTTTGGAGAAATATGGTAATTGGTTTTTATAATCTGGCCAGATCAAAATTTAAAAATTTCAAAAAAAATTTTTTATATGTTTTAATAATCAGGTAGGTTTTAAAAAAAAATTTTTATATAAATTTCATAAAATTTTATATATAAAATTTAAAAAAAAGGCTAACTAGCTGGGTTTATTCAAAAGGTTTATATTAATGTTAGAGTTAGTATTAAGATTAGTATTAGGGTTAGTATTAGATTAGGTTTGAAGTTAGTATTAAAATTAATCTAAAATTGTAAGAGGATTATGTTTTATTAGTAACACAAAAAGATTATCTTAGTAAAATTTTAAATTATAAAAAAACTGTTACAAATAAGTATATAATAGGCTGTTATAAATAGATTTATTCTATTAAAAATACTATACTAATTTTATTAAATTTTATAGTTTTACAATATTTTAACGATTTAATTAATTGTATAGTATTAGCTTTTTACAAGTATACTACTTTAATATTTATAGTTTTTTTAGAATTAATTTTAATATACAATATTTAAAAATTTATATAATTTAGTATATATTATATGCTATAATATATCTATATAATTAACTAATTAGATTGTAAAATTATTATTATTATTTTTTTTAATATTTAGAGGAATACTCTTGGTGTAACACCTGCTTCAAACTTTTATTAATACTTAAGTAAATTGATATATAGTAATGTTATAAATATATATATATTACATATTAGTATACAAACCATTTATCTATAGCTAAAACCCACCAGAGATATCAATATTTTCACATATATAATTAATCTAGATTTTGTATATTCTTATTCATCTCTAATTAATTTTTACTTGTCTTTTGCTTTATTTACTTTATCTACTATTTTAACTTTCAAATTGGTATATTAATACTTCAAGTAGGCACTTTTTGCTTTCAATTAGGGGTTTGCAACTCAGGCTTATGCCTATGTTTAACAAAATTCAGATATAGATATAGGCATGAAAGCTTTGGCATGGGTGTGATCACTAGTACAAAAATTTGGTATAAACATAGGCACAGGTACAAAAATTTGGCATAAGCATGAGCACAAGTACAAAAACTTGGCATAAGTATAGGAATAAATATAAAAAATTTAATATTTATTAATAAATTGTGTCTGGCAGTTGTAATTGGTATCTTTTTAGCATCTTTTTATTTGGTTTTTGTGCATATATTTATAAAATGCCTGGTATTTGTGTCTATGTCTATAAATATATCTGGCAATTGTGCCTATGTCTATAATAATTCCTGGTACTTTTGTATTATAAGCATGAGTATAGTATAAGGCACTAGTGTTTGGCATAGTGCCAATATGCCTGGCATGGACATTTGCAAAGCCCTACTTCCAATTTAGTATAATTAGTTTATATTTTTACTTAGTATACTTGTTAGAGATTTGTATCTTAAGCTATACAGCTATTTCTGCCACATTAAGTAAATATTTCAAGCCTGCATACTACTGCAACTGCCAACTTTTTTGTGACTTTTAAGACTCAGATCTTAATATATTAAATTTGTAATTGTATAAATAGCTATATATTTCTCTCTATAGTAATAAGGTGTCTAGGCATGTTTTGTAACAAATTATTCTGTTCTTCTATAGTCTTTTATAGTTGAATAGTATCATGAGGCTCAGAGGTTCATAACAGGTATGTCATTATTTCTTTTTATAATAATTTTTGGCAATTGTAGTTCCTAGTTATATACTGTATATACTTGTATTAGCTATACTAATTTTGGTGGTTCTAGACCCTTATAATGTCTGAAGACTTCTATATAAGTATGTCTAGAACTCTATTGAGTCTTGATATATATACATCTTTATACTTTAGCCTCTTTTTAGTAAGTAGTTCTACACAATATCAAAGGTGTTCTAAATCTAGTAAGGCTAATTCTTTATTACAGATTTCTTTATATTTACTACTTTTCTCACTATTCCAATTCTAGTTACTATCTAGTTATCTTTCTAAACAAGATCTCAATATTATCTCAAAGTTGTTGATACTATCTATACTAAGTGAGAATTTATATATACAACTTTTGTATAATAAAACCTTTTGTAACAACAGCAGTTATATATAGTGCCAACTTTTTATAATGAATCTTTTTTCAAAAATTTCTAATCCAAACTTGTACTTACTTGAACTTTTCATAATAAGTATATTTAAATATTCATAGAATTCACATCTACTAAAACTTGAACTTAAAACCTACTTGTAAAGAGTTGGGTGCCTAGACTACTAGGCTGCAGAATTTTAATACCAGATTACAAAATTATATATAATATAAAAATATAAAAAAATTGTAATATTTTAAAAAATTACTTGTTATATTTTAGTAAAAAAAAAATTTTTATTAAGGGTAGGGTGTAACTATTTCCAAATTCATATAAAATAGATTGTAGATTAACATTGTGTAACTAATATCATATGGTATTATATGATTTACATGTAAACAACATGTGATTTGACCAATCATAATTAGCAATACTTTGTATA